TGGCCAACACTGCATTCTCCTTAACTGTCAGTTTCCTTCTATATATGTACCCTTACAGCAGACAGAAAGAGGAATAAGTAACGTGTGAAAGAACACACCAAGGCCATAAAAACCTCCCGAAGGTGCTCAGAATCAGGTGTAGTACTGTCTGCACATTGTACAATTTCTACATTTTTAGCAAATTCTATCACCTTAACAGTAAGCCATAAGAGGCTCTACTTTTCAATGTTCTATTTACAGCAATGCTATCACAGAAGATCTGGATTCAAGTACTTAGATTTTAAACTCTGAAAACCAAGTAAAACTAAGCAGCTCTAAAGCTCTATATAATGGAACTTGCTCAATCTTGCATTTGCCATCAGTAGACACAATTGGTCTTGATCTGAAAAAGTTAGCAGCCTAACTAACCAATGCAGCTGAGTGCCCTGAAACATTCTCAATATCACAGAACATACCATCACTTGCAAATGAAGGCAAAGTCTGATTTTGTCACAGTTACTGGCTTTGCAAGCCACAGAGACTAAGCTACTCCATCACTGGAGCCTCTCCCACATTTGTATCAAGATTCAGGGGCTGCATAGCACTGGAAAACATGGAGTATCTTTAGCTGTACTGAAGTCAAAAAAAGAGACTCCTTGCAACTGTCAGTTCTAAACTAGCTTTCCATAACCAGAGCCAATTAAGCTAAGCCTCGAATGAATCAACATAGCATGAATTAAGAAGTGGTGAGGCTTGCATGCAGAGACCTGCATTTTCAAGTAGCAAGAACTGGCAGAATAAAGTACAAAGATGCATTTATAATAAGTCATGCTCATGCCACAATTTATCTGCTGCAAAGAAGTTTAAACTTTTTTAGCACCAGAGCAAAAGAGTAACCCAAATGCTTAGAGACTGCAGCAGTGCAAAGCCTTAACTCTCACTGAAGCTTATAAACTGAAAACACAGTAGAACTTCCTGTTCATTTACTTTAAATACACAACACAACCACACAACTACCCGGTCTACGGGGTCAACCAATTCACAGTTTACTTTAATCATTAAAATCTATATACATATTCTACAAATATTTTTCCAGAGACAGTGAATACATTGAAAAAAACCCTTTCCATGCCTTTTCTCTCAACAGAGATGTCTGAAACATCCACGATAGATTTTTATCTTCCATAATGTAGGTAAAGCCTATTAACTTTCATAATTTGTAGTATTTTAGTTTAGCTTAGAGAGGTTGGAGGAAAATAAAGTAACTCACATTAATATTAGAATAATAAAGAAACTGAGAACAGCTGCGTGTCTCTTGCAGGCCTCAAACCAAACTGTAACTGCACTTCAACTTTCCAGAGTACAGGCAGCAGTACAGTTAGTTCTGTTTTCAGTACACTCGCCTCCAAACATATTTGAAAATCTAGACTACATCCAGTTTGTTCTTATTTTGTGTTCTACTGACTAAAAAAAACAATTAGAGAACAGTGCAGTTTAATTTGCTACCTTCTCTGCATGAGCTGTCCCCATAGATGTTTCTGTAAAACCAAGAGTCAGCTCTGCCTCCATCTATGTTGTATGGGATTCCAGTTGAATGGTAGATCAGAGAATAATTCAGAGGTATCTTTACTGTTACTGATAAGCACATCAAAGTTATATCACTGGCCAACATACTAAAGTCAACATAACCAGCTTATATAAACACAAGAAGCAACTCTACCTGTATTTGAGGGTTGTGTTTTTAAGGTATCTCATTCTATCACCCTGTATAAGAAGTTAGAAACTAAAATACCTCCTAAAATTCTGAAAACCTTCTGCATACAAAATTACCATGAAAATCTGATATTGCAGTCACTGTAGCAAATGAAAATCCATTGTTGCTTTGACATTCTGGACAAGTATCGGTATCTTTTTCTCCCCTGCTCTAAAAGCAAGCCTAAACTGTGCTTCTCTTAGCTCTGGGCTATTGCTTCTTTGTTGTCACATCTCCAGAGTGAATGTTTTTCATTCCTATTGATACCTCTAATTATATTTATGCAGGGTGCTATTATTCACTTACCCTTAAGCATTTGTTTTCTATTGCATACCTTCACCTTGGTTATCACACTGCAAAGCTCACATATAATCTGCTGTCCATTTTCCTTTAAGTTTGTTCGTATGCTAAGATCAGGTCTTATTTTACCAGTTATCTTCTAAGCATGTTTCTCTACAACAAAAGCCATGGACAGAACCAGACCAGTCCTTTCTATCTACTGGGTCTCTGAACACCCTCAACAGGATCTCGTAGTTCTTGTAGCAATTAAATCTAGATGAAAGGAAGGAACAGCACTAGGTATTTAAAAAAACAAAAACCAACAAAACATGGAGCGTTTCAACAGTGTTCACCCTGTGGCAGCGAACAGTTGCACTACACGTGCAGTGCCCAAGACATGATTGTCACAAAATCACCTACACAAGGTCTTCATTTTGAAATGCTTTTGTCTCTGTCCTGTGATTATTTAAGGTTTAAGAAAATAATCCAAATGTTATTCTTGCACAACTGTACTATTCTCATAGCTGAACACAGCTTTCCCTTGTCCAGAAAAAAAGAAGCCTGGACAATTTTAATCCTTCAAAGTCACATGGCACCCATGTAGCCATCCTTCTGATCAGCTTCCCCTCCCTGTAGCATTCGTTATTCCTCCCCTAGATGCTGTGCAGTTCTGTATCTCTAGATTATAGATTTAGCCAAGAAACAAGAGGAGGCGCCTGTTAGTAAATTGCATTATGTTTCACATGGAATGCTGGTGAACATTTCTGAATTTTAGCAGTTACAATCATAACACCCAGATACAAGAAGCCCGTGGTACAGTTAACTTGGAAGATGACTTTTTTCTGCACCAACAACATACATTATTCTACTTACTCCATTCTTCAGGCCTAAAAATACCTAAAAGGATTGGTATTTTTAGGACAACTGCATTGCTAATGTCACAGCCCAGAAATCAAAAGCACGGATTATAGCGAAGTACGTCGTTCTTCCAGATGTACACGATCTGCAAAATGTCATTTTCAACATCTGATATTTAAAAGATGCTGTTGAGGAGTTACATGACATCAATGCATACACTGATCAATCTTTAAAAAAAAAAGCTCCACCTCTTCTGCTTGTCAATAGTTGGATGCAAATCAAAGAAACACTTTAATTTTTGAGTTGAGTTTTAGTCCTCAATCAAACCTCATGCTGTGCCACAGTCTGAGCCGGCTACTGAGTCACATCATTCAAAGATAGTGGGACAAAAATATCACTGAATGCTGATCCTGCATTGAAAATATTCCACAGTCCCTCGTTCTCTTTATACGTTTCACTTCTGTAATTAAATTGCACCCACAGAAATACACCACCTCCATGACAGAGATATATTACTCAAAATCATTTCCTGAGCACTAAGCCTGCAACATACCAAATCATCAAGAATGGTTTAGCAAAAACATAACGTCATATATGCACATGACTTTCAACTGATACAGTTAGCAAGCCCTGAAACTCCGCAGGAAATTAAATACTCTAACAAAAAAATGACCTTCTGAAAAGCATGCTCAAGACTTTATGCTTATTCTCTAATAGCCAAACAACTAGAAGTGTTCATCTTGCAAATTACTACATTTAAAGCTTGCCTGCCGTGATTCTGAAACTGGAGTTCATCTATTTCACTTTTAGAAAAGTCCACTCCTTCTCTTAAATGTGTATTGCCAGAGAAATCCATAGCGAAAGGGAAGCAAAGCCTAACCTCTATGTTGCAAATATGAACTTAAAACTAATTAGTTTACGCAATATAGCAGTTTAAACATTCAAATGGATTTTACAGTAATACTGCCTGGTCTGACTGAACACACCCGCCCACCCATTCATGCGCTTCATCTCCTTTTAAACTTCATTCTGGATAAATGTGCAAGGAACTTTTTAAAGGGAAAAGCCTTCATTTATCATGTGTGTGAAGGTGGATCCAACGAACAAATATTCTTACAAGTGTTCATGTTTGCCACACACGTTTTTCAAAACGTCACCAAAAAGCTCTAAATGCAGTAAACGAAATAATAAAAACCAGTACCAGGTAACTGTACAAGTAACACCAACAAGCTGGCTTCCGGCTATTATTAAAGTGACTGAAAACCTAGGTGCATGCAATGCTGCCCATCACTGCTAACAGAAATGAAAGACGACAAACAGGATACTAAGACTTATTCCCTTAGCGTTAGGAAACGGGCAACTTTAAACGGTTACTGCGAATTCCTGTCCATGCTTAGCTCCAAACGGAATCCGGAGCGAGAAAAAGAGCGGGGCTGAGGGGTCCCGCAGAGACAACCCCGGCTCGCCCGTGCCCCCGGGCAGCCCCGTCGCGGTACGGGAGGTCCCCGCCCGCTGCCAAGCGGAGCGCGCTGCCCGCGGGGTGCCCGTCCACCCGCAGCGCCGCCGGGGGGGAGCCGCCCGGCGCTCCCCGCCCACGGGGAAAGAGGTGAGAGGGGCTCCGCGGCGCGGGGGCACCGAGCGGGGCCTCCCGCTGCCCCCTCAGCGCCCGGCGGGAGGGAACTGGGGACGGGAAAGCCCCGACCAGGGAGAGGGGAGGCTGAGGGACCTCGGCACAACGGCGCGGGGATGGGAGGGGGGCAGGACCAGGCGGCAGCAGAGGGAGGGTGAGGGAAGGAGCGCTCCCCCCTCAGCACCGGGACCGGGGGGCTGCCCCTCACCTGGTAGATGGCGGCCCAGCTGCCGGCCTGGTCGAGCCGGTGGAACTCCTTCTCGATCTCCATGGTGGGGGCGCCGCGCCAGGCCTGTCCCCCCCGCGCCGCTCCCGCCTGCTGCTCCGGCAGCTCCGGCTCCAGCTGCTCCCGAGGCCGCGGCTGCCCGCTCTGCATGTCACCCCTCCCTTCTCCCCGCCGGAACTACGCACCCGCCCCGGCGACGCGACGTCCGGGGCGGCCCGAGAGCAGCGGGGTCTGAGCGTGGGGCGGTGGGCGCGGGGGCGCGCGGCGCCAACGGTCTGTAACGGTCGCGGCGGGCGCGAGCGCTCTGTGTGGGGGCTGTAGGTTCCCCCCGTTAAACGCCCCCTGAGGTGGGGTCCGGCCCGGACCTGCTCGGCGGGAAACGGGGCGGGCGCGGCCGCCGCCTCCTCCCCTCCGCACCCTCCCCGCCGACCCGCCCGGGGCCGCACTGACAGGTAGGGCGGCCCCGGCAGGGCTGAGGGGTTGCAGGTTGGAGGTGGCAGCGGGGAGCCCCGGCTTAGTGCTCGGTAACGGGGTTTGGCGGCGCCGTTGGGTGTAGCTCCTGGGCTCCAGGCTGGTCCTCTGGTTCCTGAGCCGTGAGGAAGGGCCCGAACTCATATTTTCAAGCTCTTTGTCTGCAGCAAGAGGGTTAGAAACTTGTCAAACTTCTCATGAGGCCATTTGGTTGCAGAGGAAAGGCTGTGAAGGGTGGGCTGGCAGCAGGTGCCTGTCCCGGCAGCGCAGGGTGCTTGTGTGTACGCGTGTGGTCCACTTCATGGATGGGGAAGGCATCCTGCCTGTAGTCGGAACATGGAGAGTTCATTTTTCACTGTTACACAGCCCGCAGAGTGAAATGTGTTTCTGCCAGTTGTCCCATACCCTTTGACTTAAAGGAATGTGTGATGTGACAAGCTCCAAAGGGAGTTGGATGATCTGTCCTCGGCTCTTGGATTCTTACTCTGAAATGGCCTATACTAGCAAGGTGCTACATGCAGTCCTATCCCTGGAGGTAAACGTGTCATTCTACTCCACCCTTTTCATTAGGCCATTCATTTCCAAAGGAAGGTGTAGCCTACAAATCTCAGAGAGTCAAGGTCTTTCTTCCTGAGTTTCAAGACCAGACATTCCAAACATACGGACATAGTTATCCCATGTATAATGCTAGACTGTGCTTCCTTTCCAAAGCAAGAATTTTCACTCCTGATATCAGCCAGCTTCTGTTTGTTAGATTACTTCTCAGGCTTTTAGAGTATACTGTTCCTGAGGGCTGGTGCAGGCTTGGCATACCTGGTGTCTCTGCAACACGAATGCTGACCCAAAATAGGGTTTGTGAGAGTGGATTTGTAGGATCAACATTTTTCAGGAGTGAATTTGGTTATAAATACCCTAAGTTCAGCATGGATTGAAGACAGAATGGTAGAGTTGTCACCAGGCAAGATGTATCGATGTTGATAAAGACAAAAGTATTTCATAGCTTAACTGCAGCCTTCACACCACTTCATTGTTCCTGCTGGAGGAAGCTTTTCCCTTCTTTTGCTAATAATTCTACTGCACAGTCTTTGGAAGAGGCTCCCTTTCACTGTTCAGCCACCCAGATCCAGACTTGCTATATAAGTGCAAATGGATGCTCTCTGAGGAGAGGACTAGTTAAGAGATGTGAGCTGAGGGGGCCAGAATTTTGGGAAAGGGTTAATAGTAGCACCCACAGCAAAGGCAAGCTGTGAAAGCATCTTTATAGGATGAAAGTCTTAATCTAGGTAAACAATGAAACATTAGTCAGCTGCTGTGTTGCATAGAGGCATTAGCAGATGGTATTAAAAAGATTATTTTCTTGCCTTTTTTACTGCATGGGATTTCTCTTGATTTTTGGAACTAGGAAGATGCAATGTTAGCCCCATGAATTAAAGGGCTTCCACCTGTTGAGACTTGCTTCTGTGTCACTAAAAGATGGGGGACTACATCTTCTCTTGCAGTCTGGCTGTTCTGACACAGGATCTTTATCTTGAGTCCAGGTGGTGAATTTTTAACCTACTGGACCTGGGGGCATAACAAGTTTAACAACTTTGCTGCTTTCCCCTTTCCCTGTTATTCAGGGTCATGAGTTATGAGCATACGTGGAGAGTCTTGCTGTGTTTCAGTGGTACCATACTGAGAGATGAATCTTTATAATGTCACCAAAGTGCAGTTCCTGTGGATGGCCATTTTTCATGCAGACATAAACCTGATCCTACCTAGAAGAGGTCAGGGCTTGTGATGCTGCAGCTAAATGCAACTGAATTACTGCAGTGCATAAGCATTTTATAAGGGAAGATAGCGTACATTCATTTGTGCTTATGTCACCTGAATGGATGTAATAAATAAAATCTGTGCAAGTTCTTCAGTCAGTGATTCATCAGCAATATATTCTGCTAAGTGTGTACTGTTGTCACAGAAATAATTGCCTTGAGTGACAAAAACTGGTATATTGCCCTGAAAAAAATGATATTCAGCTGAAGATTTCACAGAGTAACCCAGAAAGTAAGAGACTATAAAACTTGCTAGTGTGCCTTACATTCTTCATAGATTTATGTCTATCACAGTTGCAATGTGTGTGACCAGTAACATTTTAAAATGTCTTGTTCTGGTTCAATCAATGACTTTTATTAAAAAATTGCAGATTTTGGAGGGGATAGACTGTGTTATAAGTGTTTGCTATTTATGCCTGTAGAAAAGAGGTAAGAAGCAATTTGCAGCAGTGATACACATTGTGACTTCTATTTCAGAAACAGTTTGCAGTTAGATTCTAGTTTATGTCAAATAATAAGCTTCATCTCTTTGGCATCCTGTGATGCTGCAGCAACGTAAAGGGCACATATGCCACTTCATGGAACCATCAAGTGCATTCTGAAGGTGGGCATTCTGGAGTCCTCCTGCTGAACGGAAGACCACCCTACCTTTTACTTTGTAACAGTTGTAGGGGTTTGTAGTAATTTTTATTTGGCTCTAATATACACAAGGCTCCAGCTACCCACAGAACGATGTGAAACAGGCTGACCTCAAGTTTAAAAAATAACAGTAGCAGAACAATGAAACTAATTCTATTATTTTTAATTCACTTAAAATCCATAAAATGACTTATTCAGTCTAATAATTATAAAATTTTAATTTGCTGTCTGCTAACAATATTCAACATTTTGAGATGACCTACTTTAAAACAGCCAGTGTCATGAATCTTCATTAAAGTGTCTGCAAGTATGATACATGTTGTTCCTTCACTGATTTTTGAATGCAACTTTGTAGTTACATTAAGCCAGTTCTAGCAGGCTGTGCCTCCAGCGTGCAGCTGGGAAGGTTGTCATTCACATTCCACACGCTTAATGCCACTGCACTGTACACATTTGTATCTCTGTTTAGCAGAAATACAGTCTGTGTGCAACAGAACTAAGACTTGGATCGTCTGGCATGTCCTTTTGGTGTTATATCTGAGCAATTCCTTGTTCTGATTTTCTCTTTTGTTGTAGTTCAAGATTGTTACTGTGTGAAGATCTGTCTTGATTTTCCTCTCACAGATTTTACAACATCACACAAAGTTCTAATGATTCACATGTTATGCCTTGGGTACTTCGAAATACATGGAAGTTCATAAGCAAAATCCAGTGCGATTGGACATTGTCATATGGTGGGATGAGACTGTTTCACTTCTGATTTTGTTCTGATGTTAGCATCAGTTTTATTGTGATAAAATTATTTTGGATCTTTAGTACTGTATGTAAGGTCAGGACCAAGCCTGGTATACTGTAACTTGGTGTGATTTCTGTGGTGAAAATGTACATTAGCTTGTAATTTTTTAAATACTGAAGTCACAAATTAATACTCAGGCTCACCTAACTTTAAAGCTCCCTGAAGAGACAGGTGATTGAGAGCGGAACTTACAAGAGAGTGTGCTTAGTGAAGACTCAGATTGAGAGACTACAGTAGGATGTAGTAGAATTAGGAAACTATTAAATATTTTACTTTATGTACTTCTCAGAGGCTTAGGTATCTGAATCAAGGGTTCAGGAAAGTATGTATCTCAATTGACAGATGGGAGCCACCTTTGGGAGCAAGATGCACAAGCTGGAGAAATTTTTTTAATAGAGAGAAAATGTTGTGGTGAACGTGAGGTAAGGACAAAATTACTATAGGCCAGGTCTGAAGCAACTCATCAGAAAGGACACTCACATTTTAGTCCTACTGGGGGTGGATGTTTGTGCAAAGCAGTTTCACATACGTAAGGGAGGCTAAAAGATCTCACCAGACTCCATGACCTCATGGTTAGGACACTGCTGAGACACAAAAGATGTTTCCCTCAGGCAGGGGCAAGAGTTGAATGCAGGTCTGCCACATCCTGGTATAGTAAGAGATGTAACCACTTAGCTGAAAGGCATTCCCATCCACAGCTCCCTTCTTTGTTTTCAGAATGTGGTCTACTGGTTCTTTAAATGTGTCTTCAGGAGCAGGTTTCTCAAGGGATGTAAGGGTGGAGAGCCTATAGGTGAGCTGGGGCCTTAGACTAAAAAGAAAAATTGACATAGGCAATTGTGCTAAAACTGAGGGAATTTTGTGCATATTAATTGTTCAGGTAGAGCATTTTAGACTCAAAGTTTTAGGCTAGTGACCTCAGCATGGATCTAGCAGAGGATTCATTTTTTACTGGACGCTGCCCAGGGCTACTGTAGTAGGATGCTGGTGTCAGAAACCATTCACAATTTATCAGAAAAGATGCAATTAAATGATGTGGCTATTGTAACTTGAACAGTGGGAGAATCAGTGTTGAGCTTCAGTCTGGCTTGTAACCCTGTATCCAGTCTATCCTTTTAAAATCAAAGGAATGATTTTCTGCTATCTGGCTTTCCTGATGTTTGCCTCTTTAGGCCAAGATGAAAGAACAAGCATTTGCTAGGAAGAGAATACTGAAATAAACTCTACCAAACTTGTCACCACAGATAGGGCCACTAGGAAATTTGAATTAATCAATGAACCTCAGTTAAAAAAAAAAAACACAAACAAACTCAGAAGTGTTTGCATAGTTGGTTGGTGCTAAATTCCTAGAAAAATTTACAGGGTAGGATGGTGAGAAGAAGGCTAGTATTTTGTCTGGAATTCCTGCTGGTGTTCTTATCCTGCAGTACTAAGTAAGTCCCCAAGAAGAAAAGGATGTAGTACATAATGAAAAGGATGGAGTACATAATAAAAAATTAACTGGCTCTGGACAGTGAAGCTCTACATGATGTGGAAGTCATTTGGGAATTTTCTCTTCTGAAAGACCAGGAAGCAGGATGAGTATTTGTTCTTCAGTCAACACTGCCTTTTGCATTTAGAAGGAACCATTTCCTAGCTGCTCCTTCAGTCAGCAGAAAAGGTTTTACTGGATGGATGTCTATATATCTAGCGAGAGATGTAGTTATATACAGTCACTTTGGCTTGGCAGTGCTCCGAAAATGACTCTTCAGCTTGGCTTGTTCTTTCTGTGTTCATTCATAGTTTGACAAAGAGGCATTAAAATATTAGTACACAAGTGTGTTAACCTATAGGGAAGAAAGATTTCTTTATTACATCTCCATATTGGGTCTGTTGGAGAGAATGCTTGGCATCTTTTTTAAAAAGACAGCTTCTTTCCGAAACACATTAGGAGAGGTGGCACCACTTTGCTGTGGAGTAATCCCTCCTGTGAGTTCTAATCTATGGGAAGTAAGTGGTGCATTTGACCTTGTCTCGTAATGAGACAGATGATGCTCTAGAGGTTTTAGGATTTTTTGCAAAAGAGGAGATGAGCTGAGCGTAAGAACTCAAACTGCAGTTTGTAAATGTGCAACAGAAAATTTCTTCTGATATGCAGATATCAACAGTCCTTGTGTCCAAAGCACTTCAGGACTGAGATGGTGAGAGCTGACCCTAAAATGTAAATGGTACAGAGTCACTAAAGTTCCGCTGCAGTGAAGCATCTTACATGATGGATGCAGTGCAATGCAAAACAGAAGTCCTCAGTGAGAGGAGACAAGCACAGCTATGAAGAAGAATGGCGCATGGGTTCACCTGCTTCGGATACCCATCCCCACAGAGAGAATCCGCATCTCCTTGGATGGCTGGGAAAGGGGCCAACATGGACGCTAGACCTCTCTCTGATCAGCTGGAAAGCCCATCAGAGGTCGGTTTCACTGTAGTTGGTGCATAAAGGTGGCCTTATTCAGAGCTTTACAGGAACGATGGTTGGGACCAACCTGCATAGGAATTCGGCTGGACCAGGAGCAAAAGAAGCTGCGGAGTGGAAAATGAGGATAGATACTAGTGATGAAAGGGAGATGCTCTCACGGTGCGGGACGGGGAGGTAACGTCACGCTCCTGTGAACGTTTTGGTGGCACCATCTAGTGGCTGAGAAGCGTTACGTTACGTGAGGCGCCCACCCGCGTGACCAGAGCAGGGGAAGGTCCCTGTCTGCATCGCCTGTGCCACAAAGCTGTGCTACAGTCCTCATCAAGGGGCCATTGTAACCGTGGGTCAGCCTCAGCTTGAGCTTCAGCATGTCTTGACATGATTAGCTGGCTGTGACCTCAGTGGTTGCTTACCTTAACCTATCTCATTGCGTGACTGACTTCTCCAGCCTTAGTAATGGAACTGGGCCCCGAAATTACTTCAATGAAGAGGCTGCTGAGAGAGAGCGTTACCTGTTGCAAAAGAAATGTATGCACCATTAAAAGTAACCGCTTGGTGTCACTCTTTCCCACAGTTAATGGAAGTTAAGGCTATAAATTGTTTACTCCGTACGTGTCTCTTTTGGAAACATCTCTGTAAACAGGTAGAAGCACAGCTGCCCATGTAAAGAAACAAATGTCTTCTTTGAGATTAACTGTTTCCTGTAATGATAATAATAATACCAATATCTTGTACTACTCATTGCAGTGAATCTGATTCTCCAAGGATGAAGATGAGATTTAGCACTGGAGTAGATGTGGCATCTAAAGTGTAGGCAGATGTACTTGCGGAAGGCTGCAGCCCTGTTGCATGTCATAACTACTCATTTCTCAGCTCCAAAACACATACTAGAGCAATTGTTTTCCTCTGTGTGGAAACCAAAACCATCATTTTTCAGTTTATGAAAAATATAAAATTTAGCACAGAATTATTGTTGCAGCAGTGCTATAGGGTCTCATGCATAGACTGTCCCTTTCTAAATTAGGCTCTGCATGAAAGTAGTATGAAAAGACCATCCTTGACCCATTTAATCAAGTAATAAGTAAAGTTCTGCTTTCTCCAGTATAGGGTCTGAAACTGTTAGTGTATTTTTGAAAACTTCACCAGGGTGTCGATGGAGGGCTGTTAAGAGTTGAGTCATTTAACTTTTTACACTGTTCTTTGCCATTACTCATTGTGAAGATGCACTTTTCCGCTTGCAAAATGTTTTAGTCTAAAATGCTCTAGCAAGGAAAATTGCCCCTTGCATGATTTGCCTTGTTTTGAAAGATTCATTTCAGTGACTTCTGAACTATTTTCTTCTTGGTAGGAAGCAGTACAAATAAAAACCAAATAATTTTATAACACAATCTAGTGATGATTGGAACAGAATTGGATTGGTAATAGGAATGTCTGGATTTGAATTTCTAGAAGAAGGTTCATTTCCATAAGATTTCCAGTCCTGGCTTGCAGTGTAAAGAGGGTAAATTAATATCTGGATTTATAAGTTCAGTTGAAGCCAAAGGGGGCAATAACTGTTTATCCTAATGCTGAATTGGACTCGACAAGCTCCACAATTTTGGATGCCTATCCCAGTAGAATCAAAGGTCTTAAATATTCAGCCAGTCACAAATATGGGCTGAAAAAAGCCACCTGGATCATAGAGACCTGTGCCCTACAAATGTGTGCAACCATTTAAAAGCTAGTTAGCCCTCAAATTGCACTCTCCACAAAGATCCAGAGCAGCAGAGCATTTCCTAACAGCCTGTATGAAATTTATAATCTACCTTACAAAATACTAAAAGTTGCAAAATCTGCAAAGCATTGCGGGGGAAAAGCAGAAGAGATTAAAATCCTTACTGGTGCCTTCAATCCTTAAAATGGTGGAGGATTAGGTGACTGAAAACATTCTGTGATCACAGAATGCAACCCTTCTCGCACTTTAGAGAGGAAGGCAGTGCCTCCCCCCAAATAATTCCAACCTGTGTAACTTGAGGCACGTTGGTCTTCATCCCAATATACACTGATTCAGAGTTTTTAGTCAGTAAATGATCCATTAGAACCTGGCACTTGAAAAGGAGAATCTAAAAGGGTTGGATCTTGTAACTTATTCCACTTCACAAAAAAAAAAAGAAAGAAAAAGGCAGGTACTCATCCAAATTCGAACATGCATTTCAGATCTTCTCTCTTCACTTTCCATAGTTCAAAGCAACATGATGAAGCAGGTTGCAAATATACTAAATCTGTTATATGGGGTGCAAGATACATGACTTCATAGCAGAGTTCTATGTTACCTGTCAGGCTCATTCTCTAGCTCTTGGGAAATAAAAGTCTTCCTCTGGGAAGGGATAACCAAAATGCTGTTAGAAGGACTGGGATACCAACACCTCTCGTTACTGCCTCTGTTAAAAGAGAGTAAGAATAACTTTTTTAGTAAGTACATCAGTTTGCACTAAATTAACCTGAAGAAATAATCTGTCAGAATTCTGTGTGGAAAGGAAAGAAGGGATATATCTACCTGTTACCTGTACTTCGAAGTTTCAGCTATCAGTGATGGTGTGACAAACTGTGCCTATGGGGAAGTGTACCCTGTATGTTCATGCATGTAAACCTTTTGCTGATTCTGATATTTTTCAGCCTTCATGGGTTCTGCAAGATGCGTTTAAGGTTGATGTCATGCTGTGGCAGAAGCAGCTAGAGGTAGAAATTTGTAACTCATAGATGCTAAAACTCATGTTACCATTGGATGGCAGTATAGACCTTACTGCTCATAGTAATCACAGCAGTAATAATTTTATTCATAAGAATTTTAGGTCAAGCAGCAACTAATAGGGAAACAGTTACTCAAAAGACCTTTTAATGGCTAACATGATATTAATAACATAAAATCGCACTTGCAGAGCTGGCTTTAGTTTTGCAGCATTAGATTTTAGGAAGTCTATGTTGAAATCTTGCTAGGTTGCTTAGTTTTCTAAATAGAGATTTCAAAATGCAGTTGATTCTGTCACATGGGACTCAGGTACTGTGTGCTCCCTACTGTCATAAAAGATGTATGGGTATGTTTTGTGATTAGAGGTTACTTTACCCCAAGGCTTTCACTCACTGTTCTATGCTTTATGCAATGATTTATATGATGAATGTTTTCAGCAGCCCTTTCTTTAAATAATCCTTTTTCCTTACAGCAGATGTGGCATATCAGAGTTTGGAATCACCATCACCTGTGTATCTGAGGGTGGCAGAATGGGTGAGTGCTAAAGTCTGCAGACCTGTAGGCTTTCAAGCATAAATATTTTTCACCTCAAGTTGAAGACACAGTGTTCAAGGGGGTGTCTGCAGTTCATTCAGAGTTGTGGCTGCTGTTTTTACATATGAAGGAAGCATTAGCTTAAATTTGAGTTAATGATACACCATTACTTTAATGCTGAGGCAGTTACGTCATTGCTATCACTATGGGCATAGTGTGGCATTCAGTGCAAGCAAACCAGTGGCAAATTTGCCTTAGTTTCCTGTATGGTTTTACAGTCCTGTGTTCCTTGCTGCCAGTTCACTTGGTGTGAGGCTAAATGAACTGCTGACTAGACTTGAGGCTGTGTATCCAAGTTGAAGTGTTTGGCAGCAATACTGACTTAGCCCTACCTCCTTTGCCACCTGCTGCTGGTTTCTGTGGTACACCACCCCTTCATTTGTGCCAGCCCAACTATTTATGCAGCTGCACTTGGAAATGGAGCTGGGAACACATATACTTCAAATAAAATAAAATAAAAGAAACAAAACCCAACCAAATTACTTTTTTTGTCTGGATTAGTTTTAAGCAAGATTAGGTCTCCGGTGCAGTGAACCACATGGCTACATAAACAATTGTTCTAGAACAACAGAATACACTGATGTTGAGGCAGGATGATTACAGGAGACAAATATCAATACCATAAGTCAGTATTGCCACTAAAGACTTCACCTTGGGACACCACAATTAAATCTATAATTTGAGTGATTCACAGTAAACTGTGTTTTAAAGTAATGTTTGAAATGATTGTGTTTGAAGCTACTTCCGTATGCTATGTCCTGATGGCACACAGGCTTAATGTGGGCCCTGTAGTGACAGAAAATGGCTGTGGAAAGAGTGCCATGACATTCTTTTTACCTAGGAGTAAAATGAGAGCCTTCTAGTTTCAGATAAGCCTCTAAGTGTAAAAAATAGTGGTAGAGTGCATCCATTTTTACCAGTATTTCATTGAAACAAGTGGAACTATTTTCATATTGTCCTCTAAAACCAGTTATTTTTCTGGAGGCATATCTTACTTCTTTTGTAATGTGGGAGTTTTATCACTCTTAATTTATTTTCCGCACAGGAAGAGGAGCTCAGATGAGCTCCATTTCAGTTAGTCCAAGAAGGGCTCAATAAAGCTGCTTAAGAAACTACCACCACATTTGGGATGAGGGCAAGTAGATTGACACATTGTATTTCCCCAGCACTGTATATAAGGAAGTAACTTTCAGCTGAAGCATTTTTTACCATTCAGATACAGTTAAAATTTCAAATCTGGCCTACTCTGAGAAGCTGACAGGCCAGAAAAACAGGGCTGCAGGGGAAAGAAACCTCCCTGCAGAGCTGGTCTACCTGCCAGGAGAAAAGGGACCTATGAAACTTTCTTCCAACGTATTATCTAAATCTTATCTGCTCAAACACTTCAGGGTTTAGGAAGAGCAGCCAAAGTCAATTCTTGCTTAGAGTGTTTAAAACAAAAAATAAACAGAAGAGAGAAGTTGTGCGTGTGCAGGAGGAGGTGTTGGGGTGGAGAATGGACAGGGTGGTGGGATTGGGGAGGGAATGTTTTAACCTACGTTGACTCTTCTGAAATCTTCTTGGAAGTATACACTGGTTTCTCAAATGACAATGAAATTGCACAATCCATAATTGTGGTGGTGGAGAATTGCTGGCGGGTATCCAGAGGCCAGTATTCTCTCTGATATCAGCAGGTAGATGAAACAATAGCTGGTATAAATTAGAGAATAGCTTTGACTTTACTGTTTGCTGGTTATCTGATTCTACAAAGCCTGAAAGATGCTTCTGAAATGTATAAACCTGAAACTGAATTTTCAGGTCTTTGTTACTATTTTAAAACCCTAAAAAAATCCCAAACCAAAACCAAGCTTTGCTGACTGTGCAGTACTCCAAATTGTCTGAAATCCCCTTTGCAGACACCACCAAGCTGGGTGGGAGAGTTGGTCTGCTGGAGAATAAGAAAGCTCTACAGAGGGATCTGGACAGGCTGGATCAATGGGCTGAGGCCAATGGTATGAGGTTCAACAAGGTTTAGTGTTGGATCCTGTACCTGGGTCACAAAAACCCCATGCAGTGCTCCAGGCTTGGGAAGAGTGGCTGGAAAGTTGCCCAACAGAAAAGGACCTGGGGGGTGTTGGTCAACAGCGGCTGGACATGAGCCAGCTTGTGCCCAGCAAGCCAAGAATGCCAAGAGCATCCCGGCCTGTATTAGCAATAGTGTTTGGGTTAGGCTGCCCAGGGAAGTGGTGGAGTCACTGCTCCATAGGTATTTAAAAGGTGTGTACATGTGGCACTTAGGGATATGGTTTAGGGGGGTCTTGGCAGTGGCAGACTAACAGTTGGACTTGATGATCTTAAAGGTCTTTTCTAAATGATTCTGTGTAAGAGTGAGATTGAAGAGCTGTTATAAAATTAAACTGTTGATGTATATTCTGCCTAGGGTCTGTCTAGCAGCAGACAAATCCACTTCTGTTCTTACTTAGAGGTGTAAATAATCCAGATGTCATTTTTATTGCAGAATTATGATAGTGTCTTCCCAAATTGTGCTTCTTCACGTATCGAGTGAAAACTAGGGTTGGGGTAAAACTTGCAGCTTGTGAATTTTCCAATGTATTCTATACACTATTTGGCTTTATATTTCATGAAAGAAGAATAGTATTAGAGTTTTGTTGGAACAGATCTTGAGAGGTAACATTAGGTATCAGATACAGGGATGTTTCTGCCAAAACTTTGTCTATGAGATTCTCAAGCTGAGCTCTGCAGAATATATTCAGGGTGGAAGGGAGAAGAATATAGAGAGAGAGTTTCTGGGAACAGAGTACAGGATGTATCAAGGAGTTCAAGAAAAAGGTAGGGTTAATCTATTTCCACTCTTTGGTTCTCGTTACCTTCTCTCAGGCACATCTTCCATTCTCAGCACCTTACAGCATTGATCTTCCATTATGATATCTACAGGGGTATCTCTTCCAATTTGTGTGAGCACCACTGAGAAATCAGTTGGGGAGAAGCATACTAAGGGCACAAAATGTTTTGTAGCAGGGAGTGAAAGCATTCAGATGAACCTAAATAGACCTAAATGGATGAAGATTTCTCTTATATTCTCGTTCTATTCCAGTGCTTCAGTAACTTCATTATTAGATATTTTCTCCTAGTGACAAATCTTTATTTCTAGTACAGCTTGTGGCTGTATTTTTGCAGAAGGTATCTTCAAGTGAGGTTTTTCCAAATGTTAACATGAGTGGAAGGATAAGCCTTTATATCTGGAAGAAGTGTGTACTTTTATATACCAGGAATGCTAAGAGATACTCCAAAATTATTTTCATATGGTATTTTTACATTTTAAACATTTTGGAGCAGATACTGTATCCATCCAAATGCATATATAAAATGCCCATGAGACTGGTCTGCAAACACATTAGGAAGCTGAACGTGACTGTATTATCTGCCATGTGCACGTATGGACATTAGCAAGTACCTGCAGTAGGTGGGGAATGTGAGCACAGTTGTGCCAGCTGCATGTGTAGTCAGAATAAGGAAGGAACAGTTTTATATGCATTTTGAGCTTACATTTGTGTGTTTAGCTTCTTTAAAAGTCAGTTACTCTTTCTGTTTATCAGGCATCAGGCAGTGAGCATGCCACATATGAATAATTTTTTAGTGTTCTTGCTAAAGGATTAAATCACAGGTCTCCTGATGTATAAAGAAAGCCCTTCCAGCAGGGATGAATCTCTCTTTTGAACTGATAAAATAGGAGGAAATTTAACCAAACCAGTTTATTCTAGTTCCTATGAAAAATATTGTCTGTGAAAACATAAAAGCACTTAGAAAATGTCAGCATTTCACTCTTATCTGTGTGCAGATCGATATGAATGGGTCACAGTAACCTCCCAGAGAGCAGGTCTGCATGACAAGCAAAACTAATATGTATCTAAGGTTCTTTAAAAAAACCACAAGCTACCTTTATCCACGGAGTATCTGCTCCTAATGGGATACTTTATAACAGATAGGTCTGAATGATCTTGTATTAAGATGACTTCTTTGAACTTCGCATTGTAGCAAAGTAAAACTTCCATCAATATCCAGGCATATTTCATCTAGGTGTATGTATTTTGCATTGCTTCTTGTTTCGCTTTCCTTCTTTGTCAAATGACTGTTTTACTAGGATACGTTTAAACATTTTTAACAAGCAGAAAAGTAGAAGTTCTCAAGTGGCATGTGTAATTAGCACTGTTGTGTGCAGGAAGTGGTGCACATCTCAAGCTTAGAATAACATTTTTATAAGCTATTATCTAAGAAGTTTCAGACAAGTCTGTAGCAGGCGCTGATATGAATGGAATAGGTGCCAGACTGACACAGGAGCATGGTGCAGCACACTGCTGCAGATGTGTCATTTGGCAGATTAAATAATATAATTTTGATGTAGCAAAGCTCCAAAAACCTTTTCTGCCCCATTGTTGATGCAGCGCGTGATTCAGCAATAAAATTTCTGGTTGGGGTGCTAGTGCTGTGTCACAAGTGCATAGTCTTAGAAGCATACATTCCCTTTGTGTGATGTGAAGATACCAGAAATTTGTTTGGAAATTAAAGATTCAGGCTCCTAAGTATTAATGCTTTTGAAAGTCGCAGGGTAACTATGTAGTGAGTCTCTGCAGATCTTGTGTGGTGTACAGAAAATCTGAATCCAGCTGAGAACTAAATGGTAAAACAAGTAAAAAGACCTTAAAATACTCTCCAGTCTTGATGTCTTGGAAAGAATTCTTGTTACCTAGATGCACAGTCCACTAATAGTGGTAAGAGTCCATGTACCCTGTGATTTGTGTTTAGCACCCTTGTAGTTTAATTAGGAGCCAGGCAAAGGTTGATGTACTGAAGATAGACCTGGTATTATTGCAGGGCTGGGTGTCTGGTTTGTGGCTCTGTATATAGTAGAGTATGTTTTGAAACTTTGCTGGATCAATTTC